TTTCCTTTGAGAGTCCTGTAGAAATAGACACTTTACTTGTAGCCCCTTTCAAAGGGAAACTTTTGGTGAATCAAGTGTGGCTGGGGTAGAAACATCAACTTTGGGGGCTACAGTGATACTCCCAACACATGCGCATGCTGAGGGCTGCAACTTAAGTGTGGTTGCATATACATGTAAATATACTTCATTCACACTGACGGGCATGAATACAAAGATTAATCAAGACTATGCAAACACAGGCCCCATTTAAGTCAGATCTGCTGATATTAATAAAATGCAACATTGACCTGATTTCCACCCATACGACAGTACTTTTAATGAGCAATGACAGTCCAGGAATTTAACTACTAACGTGCATCTCAACAGAAGACCATTATGTTGATGACTTTTTTGTTTTGCCTCCCACCTGCGAGCCACGTGTTGAGCCAAACAGGCTGCATTAAGTAGCTCTGGTCTATAGTAAGATGCTGAGATCCATCTGTTTTAATCATTGGCCATATTGATGCATTATTAGTAGAAATACAGTGAGGAAGGATACCATATAATCATTGTCTTTGAGATAAAGGGGGTTTTCTCAGCTGGATGTTAGTAGTGGCACTGAGGAAGCTGTGGGCCAAAGTGTAAGCTAACTGATGGGCTTGCCTACTTTGTTACACCAGGAGAAACTGGGGCTAACTCTCTCCCAGAAACCTCAAAGATGAGAGTCAGGAAGAGTGGGGGGGCAGGTTTTGCGGGTGAAAGTTATATGAGAAAACACTGTGAAAGTGAAGACATTCCATCAACTTTTTTTCTTTGGGTTGTCATTGAAAGTGATTAGAGAAAAAAAGACAGAGTAATAAATCAAAATCTGTGATTAGGGAGAAGAAAATGTTTTTGCAAAAGGAAAATGTGATTATGAAACTACAGAATCTGGTGGGATGTTTAAACAGCAGGATTGAAACCTGAAACTAGCCATAACTCATATTGACTAGAATTCGAATGAATGCTGTCCCTTTAACAGCAGCATAGATCCTTTACAATTTTCTGTTTGCTGTCATCTGCACACTTCAGGACCATTGATGATTTTCTTTTCATGGAACTTGGATGAATTTTGGAGTAGTTTTGAGTTTTCATTAGATTCTGGAAGAAACTTTGACATTTGCAGCATTAATCCAGCTGGTGATGTCAGCATGTTGTATTTGTAGATGGCAATAATCAATAGTTTCTCTCTTCACTGATGTGCATCATAGGGTATGTCTAGACTACATGCCTCTGTCGTCAGAGGCATGCAGATTAGGCTACCAGGCATAGGAAAATGAAGCGGCGATTTAAATAATCGCCGCTTCATTTAAATTTACATGGCTGCCGTGCTGAGCCGATCAGCTGTTTGTCGGCTCAGCGCGGTAGTCTGGACGCACGGGTGTAGACATCAAAGGCATTTGTCGACCACCCAGGTAAACCTCATCCCAGGAGGTTGATGCCTT